TTAAATTATTAGTAGCATAATGTTTAAAATATTATTATTTATGTTTTTAAATTTAAAATTATAGATACAAAAATAAATTGGTTTTTAAAATTCCTCTCATCCCCTTATTACTAAACAAGAAAAAAGTTACATATTCTTCAACTAAATAAAATTTTTAATTTCTACCCTCCCTTCCCTTTCTCTCTCCTCCCCCTTCCATTCTTTTAAACCAAACAGACAACTGGACATAATAAATTTTTTATATTTAATATAGGAATTGAATGTTTTATTTTTTTTATCTATTAGAATTATAATAATAGTAACAAATTTAAAGATTAGAATCTTATAATTAAGTCTCTTGGTTCAGTAGTTTTAAGATTTACTCTAAAATATGAAAATTGACTTGATACACTCAAATTTGATTATTATTTATATTAAAATAATATTTGATTAATAAAAATTGTTCTTTGCGAATACAAATTAATCTTGGTTGTCGATTTTAGAAAACAAGTTTGAAAAATTACGTGAACTATATTCATGGATAAAAAAAATTATAACCTTATGCATACTATTCCAAACCTACCAACAAAAAAACTTTGCTTATTTGCTTAATATAAATTGAATATCTTCTTATAGTGATTATAATAATAAGTACATTGAGGTATGTTTGAATAAACAACTTAATTAAAATCTTATTTAATAAACTTTTATTTAAGAGTTAATGTTATAAATACTAAAAATTTAATAAGTTGTTACATTTACATATACTTGTTGATAAGCAGTTATATAATTTTAAAAAGATTGGATATATTTAGAGTTATTATTATTATTATTATTATTATTATTATTATTATTATTATTATTATTATTATTATTTAAGAACTTATAAGATGTTTTCTCATTTTTAAAATTAAAAAATTACAAATTAAATCTTGATTGGAAATAAAATATAAATTTAAAAGTAATTAAATATTTTTTTTTAAATGACGTTATATATATCCTATAATATTATAAATAAATAAAAATAATTATTAGTCATCATTTACCTAATTTTAGTTTATAAAATAAATTAATAATAAGATATGAGAAATCAATTATGTACAGAACCATAATTAAAAATTAAGAATCATAAGTTTTAAAAATAAAAAACTCCATATATTCTATAAAATTATGATAAAAAAACTATTGTATAAATAATTAAATATCAACAAAAAAATTATTTCAAATGTGCTAATGTAAGTGAGTACGAGTAACTCACGAAATTCAAACTGATCCAAACCAATCTATTGAATTCGGATCGGATTTTTCCAGTGTTCGTGTCGGACTCAATCCAACCCGCTCAATATTTAACACTATACAAGTCGGATAATAGGTTTTGTATTTTCAACCTGTTACCAACCTGACCCAACCCGATCATATATATATATATATATATATATATATATATATATATATATA